TAAAGCCCACCACAACTATTCAAACTAGCCAGTCTTAAACTCTGCCCTGGTTTGCCTTTCCCACAGAAACCCCAGTAAAGGCTGTGGTTTAAGAGCTCCTCTCACTCCTGCTTCTGTTTCCTGACCAAAATCTGGTGTTTCCTCTGTGGATCTGCCTAATGAGTCATGTCTCTCCTTTCTAGGGGAATTTTAAGTAACACTGGACTTCTCTTTCAATGTCATTGACCTCTCTGTTGTCACCTTTATAAATTAAGTCTGGGCACAAAACAAATTGTATTTTACCACCCTTTTCAAATTCAGATAGTCATGGGACTCATTTTAGCCATTAAATTGTGGGCAGAAGTTTTAAAACACAGCATATATTCTGTCAGATCATCTTTTTCTTATCAAGGAAAACACATTTTGGGCGGAGCTTCCATCAGTCTGGACCCTAGTAACAAGCAGAGGTACTTGCTGGGTCATGTAGGAAATGTAGAGTGAGCAAGAGACAGCATTGCTTTATCAAGCCACTCAGAGTTTACATTTTTATTGAAGCATAATCTAGATTATCCTGACTGTAATCATGACTTTGGAGGTTTTTGCCAGAATATTCCAGGTTGTATACACATTAAGTGTATTTTGGGAACAAGAGTCAGTAACTGTACCACCGAATCCAGTTTAGTTGGACATCACAGTAGGACAACTCAGGAACATTAGTAAAAGAAATGAATGAACTTGATTTTCCTTCTGAGCTTCTAGAGTCACTTACATTTAGAAGGAAAAACTCAGAAGCCATAGGTTGTAATGGGTTGTTAATACATGAATGTGCTCTGAGTTAATAACACCGTAAATTGTAACAGTCAATGATATTTATTGTGTATAAAGAACTTTGAATTAGGTGTTAGAAAACAACAACAAAAAAAGAGAAATAGATTATTGTAATAATCCCTTATATCATATGCCATGCGTTACGGGTTTCAGAGATTTTTCACAAATATTTTCTTCTACTCAGTGAAGAAGGTAGGGAAATTTAATCCCAGTTTTATGGATGAGGAAGTGTTAAGTCACAAAGACTAAATGACTTGCCCAAAGTAGTAACAAAGTCGCAAAGGGGATAAGTGCTAGAGACAAAACTAAAACACAACCCTTCTGGGTAGACACTCTTTTTTAACCAGCCTATACATTAAAATAGCTGCTTCTTCTGAGGGCTAAAATTCTTGCTGCCAGTAAAAGTTTAACAATGTTTTCAAAGCCTACAGTCAAATACACAAACATCTATGAAGATGAAGCATTTGTTTGTGCCACGGTATTGAATGAATGCTGTAATTACGAAATGGACATGAAGAAGATCTAAAACCATCAAACAGATATGGGGTGGGTGGGTGATTTCTGAAGCCCCTTTTCAATCTTATCCAGACTGAAAAGACAGCATGAAATGTTGAGATGTTGGTTTGAAACCTCAGGAGTTCCCCAGGTAAAATCTTGAATGGGTCCTGTATGCAGATGGCAAGGAGAGACCGAAGAAAAAGGCAGGCCATTCCAGTTTAGTAAGTGGCAGGTTTAGCAAGCAAGGGAACTTACATACGCGGACTGTCTTTAGTAGATGTTGGCATATAAGCACCAGAATCTTAGAAGTTTACACAGAGGCCTTAGCCGTGGCTTAGATTAGAAGCTTGCTCTCTCAAGTCTGTGTCCTTGAAAACAGCTCTAGTCGGTGGGAAAGGTAGGCAGAAAGAACTTTACAAGGGTAGAGGAAGATGGGAGGCTAGCTCCTGGGTCAACTAGTGGTCACACCTTCTCCATGACCTCACCTACAGGAGAGAATAAATGTGAAAGACAATAGTAACAGTTGCCATTTATACATGGCTTTAGTTCTCAAGTAATTTCAATGTATATTTTTATACCTGTATCTTAACATTTTCCCTATGAAGAATTATTGACTTGAGCCCAGATCTTGTACCCCGAAATCCTAAACTCTTATGGACATATTTAGAATAGGTGAAATTAGATTTTTAAATCAAATTTTGGAATACCATTATAAGGCAACCTCCTTCAAAACTAAAATACTCACAATGATGTAGAGATTTTAACACATGGACCTCTATTCCCTCCCCTCGAGTCTGGATTCTGTGCCTGCTTTAGTTCTGGCAGTTTCTGGACCAGGCCTTAAGAAACTGGTAGCTCCTAATTACTACCTCTTTGGATACTCACTCAGAGAAGGCCTGGATCCCAAGACCAGAGTGGTGATGACAGTCAAGAAAAACTCCTTCCGGTTCCCTTGGGTGGCTCAGTCCATTAAGTGTCTTCCTCTGGCTCAGGTCATGATCCCAGAATCTTGGCATCCAGAGAAGCCCCAGGTCCAGCTTCCTGCTTAATGGGGAGTCTGCTACACCTTATCCCTCCATCCCTCCCCACCAGTGTACTCGTGCTCTCTCTCACTCTCAAATGAATAAATAAAAGCTAAAAAAAAAAAAAAAAAGGAAAGAATGACTGCTTCCTGGTGGGGCTATAAGTTTGTAAGAGGTGGTCAAAGCCATGTCCAACAGACCAGTTGAATTCAATAGGATCTCAGTCTTGGATATTTCAGGGCAGGATTCTTGTGATTACCACAGTCCCCCACACATAGTTTGTACTGGAGAAGCGACTAAGACAGTGAGTGATAAATGCTAGGGCTTCTTTTGCCATAAAATCTAAGCTTTCTTTTGGGGTTGCCATTCTGAAGCCCCCTCCTTGTGTCTTGCAAGTGATTTCATGCATTTGGCAACGTACATAAAGCCCACGAGACAACAGTTTTTACACAGACACACATAGCCCTACAGTGCAAATTTTATGAACCGAATCCTGGTTTACACCTAATGTATTTCATGCTGAACTTGAAGCCACTAGATGCGAGGCGGTTCTCAGGCTTTTACAGCAACAGCAGGAGTCTAGGTTTTCTAGGACGCAATGCACCGCCCAAACAGAAGCAGGGGCTCCCTCTGCTTTCTCTCCCCATTTTGCCCGAGAGAGAGCCAAGAGAGCCACCCGCAGTTGTCTCGGCGCGCCGCGTGGGGGACACCGCCCACGTGAGCTCGGTTTCCGCACAGCACAGCTTGCTCCGGACGGAAGGACTGGGGGGAGGGAGGGAGCGGCCGAGTGGGCCGGAGAGGAGTCCAGCTGGGCAGGAGGCCCCGCGCCAAACGCCTGACCTCTGGGTCTGCTGCCCTGCGCCGCCCACTCAGGAATCCCCTCCTCTGCCCCGCGCCCCCCGCCGGGCTGGCTGCACGCGGCGGCCGGATCTTCTTGAATTTCAACACAAAGGGAATCCTCGGCCGCAGGAAGTGCATCACGAAGAAAGAGGGATTGGGGGCGGGGAGAGGGGGATGCTTCCCTCCCGCTCTACACCCCCGCCCTCCCGGAGCCCTGGGCAGCCGTGACGAAACCCTTAGGGTCCCCCCTTCGCCCCAGGAGCCGGGAGAATTCAAACAATGAGCCCCTCCCCCCTCCCCCCTCCCCTCTGCCGGGCTACCAACAGGAGTGGGAGGCGAGCGCTCTGGGCTCCCCGCACGCCCGAGCTCCCGGGCGGCGGGGACTCGAGCTGCCCCTCGCCGAGGCTCACACACCTGTTCGCTTACCCCCTCCTTTCCTTCTGGGTGCGCCAGCACCTGGGCTTACGTTTGTTTTTCTACCCCAAGGCTCTCAACTTTGCTTCCACATCTTCCCTTGCAGGGTTTTCTGAAGAATCCCAGCGCGGTGTCCTCCTCCACGTCTCGCAGGGCTGCGCCCCAGGCTTGGGCCAGGCTTTCCTTGGTAGAATGTTGGCAGACTGGGAGTCCCCCCGTGAGCAAAGGGAGAAGGGCAGGGAGAGACCACTTTCGTTTTCCATGACACCTGCCGTTCCAGGGACACGGGAAGCCTTTCCACCCGGAGGTTCCAATCTCAGAGGAAGTCTCGCCGTTGCGCAGGGGTGTGGGGTTGTTGGGTGGTGGAGAGGAGGCGGGCTAGGCTAATTGGTGGTGAAGCTGTTTTTTTACAAGGCTGACTGGTTTTACTTACATTGTATTTCACAAACCAATAAAAACAAAACTTTTCTAGGAATGTTTTATTTTCATTTCGCCGGAGAGTGAGAAGCCATCCATTGTCCATTAAAACAAAACAAAACAAACAAAAAAAACCCTCTTATTATTTTCTTTTACTTTAGAATGGCTTGGGAAGACCAATGGCAATCTGGAGTTAGGGGCCGAAACACCTCTTTTTGAGCCCAGGAAGGAGAGGTGGAAAAACCCGGGCGCTTTGGACTAGTTTTCAAGCTGAAAGACCCCGGTGACTAGGAAGGGGCCGCGCAACTAACCCGAAGCTGCCCTGTTCCAGTCTGGGGCACTGGCAGTGTCAGGTGTGCCGGAAGAGGGCCACCACCCCTGGGGCGTCCTGCGGCCTCAGCTCTCTCGGACACCACGTGGGGGGACTGCCCCCTCCCAAGCTCTTGGCTAAGGCCGGGTACCTGCCCCTACCTGTCTCCTCCCCTTCTCCAGTACCACACCCACGGGACTCCGGTCTCCCCGGGAGAGGGACGGAGCGGGAACAAAGGGGTCTTTGTTCACTGGCTCCTGGGGGGTGGGAGTCGCAATCGCACGCGTTTCCCTGCGCCCCCTGGACACCGGGAGGCTAGGCGCCACCCGGCCTCGCCCTGCAGCGAGCGCCGTCCTCCACGACCCCAGCGCCCGAGGTCAGGGCGCGGCGCCCCGGGCCACCGCGAGCTCTTCCCGGGCGGGCGGGGTGGGGGGCTAGGCTGAGCTCGGCGGGAACTGCCGCCCGCGGAGGGACGGTGAGAGGGGGGTGGGGTTCGGCAGCTGGCGGAGGTGGAGGGGGCAGGAGAGGGAGCCTGCGCCCGGCTGAGCCTGGAGGTGCGGGGCGGGCTCGCCGAGCGCTCGCCGAGAGGCTCCAGCCAGAGCAGCGGCGGCTGGAACGCGCTCCCCCTTTCCTTCCATCCTTCTCCCCCTGATCAGCCCCAGCACCGCGCCAGGTCCCCCTCTGCTGCCGTCAGCGCGCTCCCCTTCTCCATTCTTGGCGCTTTCCTCTTGAGCCATCCTTCTGGACAAACTTTGATGGAGAATTTCACACCACGCTGGAAAAATGCCGGTTATGAAAGGATTACTGGCGCCCCAGAACACCTTCCTCGACACCATCGCCACCCGTTTTGACGGAACACGTAAGTCTTGCACTTCGACGAGTTGTATGGTATTTTCCGAGAATGATTTTTCACGTATAAATTACTTTCCCTCCCAACCTTCTTTTTTTCCACCAGCGGAGTGAAACGTTCCGTTTTTGCAAAGGTGTCTTTTGTGCGGAGAAATTTCCTTCCACCCAAGGTTCAGTGTAGTATTAAATACACTTTGGACTGGTGTAGTTGGCCCCCTTGACTTCCTGGGTTGGGGAAAGCTAGAAAAGAGCCTGAAGAAAGACTGACGCCCGTGTTGAGTGTGGGACCCGTATTTCGGTATCTCCTTATGAAATTTTTAAAAATTTTATGAGGTGAAAGTGGGAATGTCCATGTTAGTGAATTGCCACCTTATCTTACTAGAGTTTCAAAGCTGTCTAGATTATAGGGTGAGTTTGGAATGTTATTTTTCTATGGAGCATCCTTCCTTGAGGTCTTTCGGATAGGCATGATTTCCCATCAGAGTTTAAGAAATGCAAACTAGAATCAGGATTGCCAAGTGTAAGCTTTCTGTAGAATTCTAAGCGTTGCGAGTTTGTCAGAAAATTAATTCCTGCTTTTTAGCTAGAATAGTGTACCTCTCAATCCTGAAATTATCCTGACACCCTAGGAGAGACTGATGGGGAGGGAAGAGCTGGGCATTATAAAGGCTGATCATATGAGAAAGTTTGGACATATTTTTTTTGAGGGCGACTATTATTGGACGTTTAGCTTGTTTCAGTTATAGTTGAAAACGAGGATATGGTGTTGTGTGGATGCTTGGAGATTGTTCATGATCACCTGCAAGTTGTTCTTTTTCAGGACCACGGTCAGGTCCCCGTTCGTTCCCAGGCTCCTCAAGCCTTTTTATGGGCCCGCTGGTCTTCCCAACAGGCTCAGGAGTTATGTACTTTCCCCCCTAACAAATGCTCTCGGTTGGTTTCACTATGAACATCCCCACCTTCCTCCTAGCTTATGTTGCTTCTGTGTGCTATCTTTCCTTTTTCTGCCTCTTACACAAAACTCAGGAACTCATTCTAAAGGCTTTTCTGTGGTTCAAGTATAATTATTTTTTACTATGATGGTATATTTCATGGAGCTGACATGAGAGAGCACATCTAATTCTATTTCTACTCCAGTAGTCTATATACACATTCCTGTTATGGTAGGAAGAAAGTCCTGGGCTTTGTGCTTTATGAATAGTTGGAAAAGTTTACACGGGAGGGAAGTGAAGAATTTACTTGATTTTGTTCAATGTTTATTTATCTATTTTTTCAATGTTTATTTTTGATGTCCACCCTACTCAGGGTAAAAGGTGTGAATATTCTTATGGTGTTTTTAACTTTTGCTTTAGCCATTCTCTCCCCTTTTATATTCTATATTCTATATTCTATATTCTATAGTATTGGTGAAGTGCAGTGCAATGTGTCTTCTTTGGATAATAAGAGAAAATATTGTAATAAAACTTATAGTCCCTGCCGCTGCCATTACCTTCACCACCCGAACAGCACACAAAATCACCACTGCTTTCTTTAGGCATGTGGAAATGTGGGTACTACTAATTATTACCTTAGAAACTGATTAGTTTCATGCGTATGTTTCTTCTTGAAGTTGCAGATTTAAATCCCAAAGGTTCTCGACATGGATCCCAAAAGCATCTATTGAAAATGGGGTTATTAGTAAATGGTAGTTACTTATCTCATCGTCATTCACTACACTTTGGACTCCATTCAACTTTAAATCCCAGCACAGCTCTGAGAATTACTGTGGCAATATATTTAGATATCAGTTACTAATGAGAGGGGCTTTGGAGCATCAGAATGAGATACCTTTGTCTCTTTATGTCACTGTAACATTTGATGAACAGAGGGCATGTAGATGGGTGTACTAGTGAATAGCTCCCTTAAAAAAAAAAAAAACTACAAACAAAAACCTAAGCATTAATGTTAATACAATGGAAAATGAGAAATTTTAGATTCTTATTTGGGAAGACCATTATTACCTACGAGCATCTAGAAAACAGAAACCAAAAACAAAGACCAAAACCTAAAACTGCTGGAGAATATGCTTGGTCTGTGCTCTACAGGGTTTGGGGGATTCCTGTAGGGAACCACTTTGTATGAAATCAGTCTGAAAATCAGTGAAATAAATGCAAAAGTAGGAGTAACATAAAGGTTTACTTTGGCAAGACTTTTTTGTTTGTTTTGTTTACAACATCTAATGAATACCCCTCATCCCAAAAAACTTCACTCTAGGAAAGAAGATTGTATTTTCCCATTTACTTCTTTTTTGAATTGCAGGATGACTTCAATAATCTGAAACTTAAAAAATACTTTAAAGAGATTTTTAGCTTCGGATTTTTCTGTATCTAGAATCATGGACATACCATTTCCCTGGCTAAGTATTTTATCTTATTGTGTTATCTTTTCTGGTTTATAAAATTTTAAGTATAATTACTACCCTGAAACTCTTCCTATGATCATCCTTCTTTCTCTTTATTTTTCTCTTGTGCAAGACAAAAGAGTTTGCAAGTTTTAAATTTGCCAAATTGCCACCTGCCCAAATAAAAACTCTATAGAAAGTGAACGATGTTATAATACTCAAAGTGTAATATGTTTATTTGGTACATTGCTTTATTTGTTAGTTATACTTTATATAGTCATCTTAGTTTCTTATTTTATTTTATATTGGGTACTCCTGATGAAAAAAATAAGAGAATGAACAGTAGCCCTGGTAAACCACTTTGCTAACTTAACCACCATGCAATGTTATTAGTCTTACTGACTTAATACTATAATGGAAAATATTCAAACTTAAAACATCATTCAAAATTTCTCCCAGGGAAAAAAACAAGTATACAACAATAAAAGCTTATAAGATGATCTTCCTAATTTATCTGTTGAAATATTATCACAGGCAACATAAAAGAAGTTAATAATATATTTTATCACCTGATGATAATTTATTGTTTTATATAATAGTTATTCCTTTTAATATTTAAGAAGTGAGCTCTTTGTCAGGATTGAAGGATAATTGTGGACAATTAATTAGAATTTTTTTCATATCCAGTTTAATTTTTAAAAACTTATTGAAATAGAAATCTTTTTATGTAAAACTACCCTAAAATACATTTACTTCTGAAATATGTTCTCCTGGTTTGTGTTTAATTGAAGTGCAATGAGACTAAGAAACTTGCAAACATTGAATATGTATGCCTTATTTAGGACAAAATAGTAACGCCAATAAGTTTTTTTTTAACTCCTCACATGTAGCCACACTTCTCACTTGAAACAATCTAAAACAGACAGGCAGATAGACACATTCACACACTAAGTGTTAACATCATGACCTATATCTAGTTTACTTTTCCTATATGTTTTTTTAATATGTTTACCGTATTAAAAAAAATATTTTCTGAGTAGACTTTTGTGTTAAGCACATAAATATTAATTTGGCCAAAATAAAGTATAGTAGAGAACATATAAGTATATATTTTTCAAAATAGTTTTTAGTATAAATATTTGTCATGGGATACCATTTGAGAAAACTACTTTTTTTTCTTTTTTTGAGGATATAAAGCATTCAAAGGGAAGTGTCCATTTTCAAACATAATGGTATATTAGCCTACATTTTCATAGGTGTGTATTTGGCTACATTTTCCAGTCCTATCAGGATTTGGTCAGTGCTTCTCCTTTGGGATTAGTGAGACAAGATTTAAGCTTTAAAGGAAGTTTGTAACCCAATGGACTCTTATCAAGGAGATTCCAGTCAAAGTATTCAGAATAACAGTAGCTTAGACACTCATTCATATTTGCATATATTTTATGTACTCCTGTATAGCCTGTTTAAAATGGTCCAAGGAAATTTGTTAAAATTGAAATACTTCCTTTACAGGGGCAACTGCAGTGGTTTCTTTTCATCTTTCCTTTCTTCTTTTTTCCCCATCTTTCCTTTCATGCTTTCATCAAGGAACATAGAGCTCTCAACATTACAATCTTAGAGAGAAGGGTTATGAACCCAGTGCTATAGGAAGGGAAAAGAATAAGGTGGGACTCTGGAGATCTTCCTAAGTCTTTGCTGGGTTGTAGTTTGGAGAATACCAGCAAAGGCATTTAGCCAGTAAAAAAGAATGAGCTCCATTATGTATGGGTCTGTCTATAAAAGGCTATTACATGAAAACATGCAAGGAAATAGCTAGCATTCTAGAGATATCTCTCCCCAAATAGAAGTTTATAAAGTCTTTAAGAATTTTTTTATATGCTAGTCGTAGTCTCTTTTATTCTTATTGCTCATGTTTAGGGAGATAGTTCCTTATCAGTTTTCTTTTTCTCTGTAGTAAATTACCACAAACTTTGTGGCTTCTTATCTTACATTTTCTGTAGGCCAGACATCAAGGCAAGGGTTAGGTCGGTCTTCTGCTTAGGGTCTCACAAGGCTGTAAATAAGTCCTTAGCTGGGGCTATAGGCCCTCTTCCAAGGTCATGTAGTTGTTAGCAGAATTTAATTCCTGCAGTTTGTGATTGAGGTCTCTATTGTCTTGCTGTCAGCCAAGGACTTTTCTCAGCAACCAGCAGTTGCCCTCAGGTTGTGGCCACAGGTCCTCTCATTAGCCCTCTCACAACCTATGGTTTGCTTCTTCCAGAGAGGAAGGAGCGTCTCTCTTTAAGAGTTTGCCTAAGTCAGGTCCAGCCAGGATAATCTATGTTTTGATTAATTCACTGTCAACTGATTATGGATCTTAATCACATCTCTAAAAACATCTGTTCTGCTTATAGGCAAGAGAAAGGAATTAGACAAAGTGTATACACAAGCAGTTGGGAATCTTGGGGGTCATCTTGAAACTCTGTCTATACAGTTGCTATGCACTGTTGTATTATTATACAAAACCGGATGTTCTCACATTTGTTCTTCTAAAGAGTAGATTTATTAAACACACTCTGAAATTCTGTATGCATGAAACCCTCCTGAGTTTACATCTGAAATCTTAGTGAATATAAGGCCCAACTTACTGG